CCAATACAGCCCCAACATCTGGTGAAGCTGCAGCGGCTAACTCTACAAATCAAAAAAATGGCGGAGGAAATGCAATTGTGATCAGTTTGTTGTTCAGAGGTGGTAATGGCGGTCCTCAGAACGGAGTAACTGCAGCGCCAAAGGAAGAGCCAATTCCTAAGGACAGCACGGAACCTCAAAATGAGCTCCACAAACCATTGGAAACGAGTCAGCGTGATAAGTCCACCGACGGGCCAGCCCAAGCTGGAAATGACCTGGACCACCGCCAGAGAACAGAACCGGCTGAAAAAGAAGCCCCTCAACCTATGACCGAACAGAAGACGCTTGATAGTAGTCAACCTAGTGTCGCAGAACCAGCTGTAATCAACTTGGTGTACAAGGAGACTCAACAGAAGCAAGAGGAACCCACCAAATCGCCGCCGAAGTTGGAGGAACCCAGTGCAGAGCCAGCAGTGATTAGCATAGTGTATAAGGACCCATCTGAAAAAAGAGTAGAGACACAGAAAGATGAAATCAAAATGGGAGTTCCCAATGAGCAACCATCAGCCGTCTCTGCACCTGCGGGTGCCACGAAGGACGGATTGCTGAGCGCTGGAGCGGACGCCACGAAGGACGGATTGCCGAGCGCTGGAGGTTTGAAATTAGAGCCGAAAGCGGAAGCGGTTCCTATACCAGTTGAAGTGTTCACTCCGTCGCGAAGTCCCTCAGCTGAGAGGATTGTAGAAAATGCCACTACAGCAGCTGCAGCTGCTGATGAGCCAGTTCTAATTGATCACACTACACCAGAGATTCTGGAGCAAGCTGCTGAGAATCGTGTGCACTTCAAAGAGGAAGAGAAAAAGCCTGCGGATGTGGCAAATAGGAGCGGAGCGGAAGTGAGCGGTGAGTGGTCTTTGACAACGGTTTTTTATAGTTTTTTTTTGTCAATGATTTTTTATTTATTCATGTCACTCATCGAAGACATATCTGAATATGTTGGAGACTTTTTTCTTAGCTTCTGGTAGACATCAACCAGAACTCCCAGCGATTCCGCTCGCCCACTTGCGGAAATGTTTTGATTAAGTTGTCTGATGTTGTTCTGTTTATCCAGCTCTTACTCTGACGTTCTGTTATCAGGCGCCTATCATTGCTCCCTTCGATTTATCTATGCCTATTACCCACGCTTTTGAAAAGCGAGATTGTTTGGATTCGCAGAAAACCTTATCCTGTGTATAACAATTCTCTGTTACTTTACAACAGACCTGTTGGGATCCATCAATCGCGATGTTTTCCGGCCTGTTGTGCAAGGCAGGGAGGATAAAGGATCATAGGCGCGTGGTGTGTTGCTGTGCCTGAAGGGTTGCCTTTTCCGCGAGGGGATGCCAGAAGTTTCACAATTGCTGCATAGGATGAATAGCTTCTGTACCCAGTACTTATGACAAAGCTCAGCTCTCTGTAAGACAGTACATACGTTTTCATCATCTTTCTCAAGTAAGCATACTCTGTGGTTTGAATGAACTGTGGTTCCATCCGCACGTTCTCGATCCTTGAGTACCTTGGACCAATGTCAAAAAGTATCGATGACATCTGTCTTCGAGAGCAGTCATGTGGGTTTCTTTCTCTCGAACAAGGTCTACGACGACCCGGAGATCGGCGTCATTACTGTTGTTACCAGTTAGATTTACCTGCACTCCAGAGGAGCTCACCAAATTTCGTTAGGTACCTGAAACCCTGTACTGCCCTCCCTCCCCCAACAAATTCTTCAATATGCCTGATCAGATATTGTGTGCCAAACTTCCACACTTGCTTACATCCCGCTTTCACCCAATCTACTTTCAACTATTTCTTTTGATTGTCACACAAGGTAGGCGATTAATGGACAGAACTTCAGTCGCGGTAGTGTAAGGGGTAGAGCACGGTGCCTGGCAAGCAGAAGTATGGGTTCGAGTTTCGTGCGAGACTGAAGTTTTGTACATAAATCGCCTTCCTTGTGAGACTTTCAGAACGCGTACTGCAACGAAATAACAGCATCTAACAAAAAATCAAGTCGTTTGAATGTTTCCTGGCTAGCATCGGTCGCTCTGTGTAGTTGAACATCCTTTCATGCGGTTCCATTGCAAACTATCTCACCATATCCTTGAACCAAATCAAGCCCTCTACTGGACTGAAATTGATCCAATCGATGATCAATAAAGACAGATGAGATATTAATGAGCTGCACGAAGTTCTGCTTTCCTTCACAGCACGCATGTCGGCTTGTCACAGCTGTTTTTGGGACCATTGTTGATTGTGACAGCTTGTTGTTGCTACCCGCTTCTCGGAGTCTCCTTATTTTTCGGGGACCTGGAATAGAGATGGTCCACTCTACTTGGATTACTTGGTGCTAAAGAGTTCATTACTGCATCAAACGAAAATCGGAAGGGCCATTTTCCAGTCATAATCGATATCTGCTATGCGCCCAGTATCTGTTTAAAATTACACCACACTTCAAATGCTTTTGATCGCATAACATTTTGCTAGTCCCGCTGCATTGTGTGAAGTGTTTTTGCATTGCGGGAGAATTCCACTGGTAACTAGCCGATAAGCCGATGGTGAAAGATCAGACCGGGAAGAGGAGTTCAACTACGAATGGTAGACAATCATGACTAGATTGCGTTTCATATAAGGCAGCGATAATCCTGAGCTTTCCAGTCATCATTGACTAGTATTCAAGGTCTCCCAAACCCAATTCATCACTGCTCTTCTCACAGTGCAATTGGTGGATCATTCGAATCTCGAAGTTGATGCGGTTGCGGGCTCGATAAGTGTTGGTGCAAAGTTTGAATGTAGAAAGTATCGAAGTGGTTCTCGACAGACAGTGAATCTTCCCCTTCCACCCGTTCCAGAAAGTTGTTTTAGTACGTCTCGACTCTTATAGAAGCGAGAGCTGCTTTGCTTTCCAAACTGAACTATGAATATGTATGAACCACTGAGTTATACATTCATATTTAGCTCTACGTTTTTCAAGAGCCATGGTTCTTGACAACTCTCTTTATTCATTGTCTCATCTTACTTTCCCATGACAAGAAGAAAAGCCTTTTTACAGCACCGTTTACGGTAATTTTGAGGGATCCCTTTTAAATCGGAAAGCGGAAGCATTATTTTGGAGTAGTGCATCGTGGTGAGGGAAGCTAGAAAACTGACTGATTTTCAGTAGAAATTACGCTGATTTTTCGTAGAAAAATCCGTAAAGCTCCTCAAAAAAGAAGTAAATAGGTGTTGTACGAGAATACAATGACGGAAAAGACATGAAAGGGTGTTAAACGAGATCAACATTTCTTGTCACTCTTTCGGCGAATGGTTGGTGATTTGCTCAAGGAATCCATGATCCAAATTTGAACCTTCCGAAACTTCCCTCCTAAAACCAAACTTCCTTTTGATTTTCTAGATCAATCAATCTGCTTCAATTTTTCGCGCATTTGGTATAAACTCTTTTGACAATATCGAAGAGTATTGAGGAAGTAGAGGGGCTATGTCAAACTGATCACAGGAAAGTTTGGTGAAATCTGATGCGAGGAAAGAAATTATTCCAAAAAAAAACTTTTTTATTGCATTTACTCACTTTGATCCGGAAAATGACCCTTTTGCGCTCACTTGATTCAATCGCCTCAAAACTTGAATCCTTACAGCAGTATCTAATGCATGCATGCTTTAGATGAACAACAACAGAGGCCGAAGGAGACTGAACAACAACAGAGGCCGAAGGAGACTGTTGCGGGAACGACGGAAGCAAAGAACATCGCCCAAACGTCGGGCGAGCCCATTAGGGAACTCAATGGCAGCGCGGCACTCAGTGCAAATGGGTAAAAAACGTATGAAATTCGGAAAGGAACTAGCTTAAGAAAATTCCAGGTTTTTCAGAACCACTGGGAAACCGGCCATTATCTTCGAAGATGTGCACAAAACAATTGAGGACATGGATCAACTTCCTCCTCCACCAGAATTACCCATCGGCAGGTACTCTTTTCCGCTCCGATTAGACGATGGGATTTCTAACGAGTTACAGTGGCATTAGATAAATGTCGTGCCCTTTTTCTAAGAGTTGCCTGCCAGAATTAACAGGTGGGGTTATTCCTAGTTGTAAAGTTCGGCCGCTCACCAGCTGACACCACGGCCCACATGATAACGTACACCCACGCTATCATGCCACTTCCACATAATAATTATTTGGAAGTGGGGTAGTGGAAACAGAAATTTTTTTCTCCTCCTCGAAAACTGAAAGAAAAGCATTCAGTCGAGGATATGGGCTAAACTGGAATGACGTGATTTCTTCTAACTCAAGCTTGATAAGAGAATGCTAGATCATTCGGTAGTTTAACTGAGGTGGTCAATGGTCATGTGGTAGCCCGCTGTCGGAAAAAAAAAACGAAAACGCAGATCTTTAGTCTTCGACTAGGAGCTCTAATAGGTGGACCCGTCAGTAATAGAAGTTACCTGCCAAATAACAATATCAAATTACAAATTTTGATTATCTAATACTAACCGAATGCAGTAATGGGGGCGACAACTGTTACAATGAATCTTTTTTTCTGCTGAAGGCCTATACTGACACTTTTCTAAACCATCTCATAAATAAAACCTTTAGTGTTCAATAGCTGGGGAGAAACTTGGTTATTGAATTCGAAGTACTTTGGTATTGGCATGAGCGAGCATTGCCTGAAACATACCGTTGAACAGTTTAATATTTACTTGACGGGCTCTCCCAGAAACGAACCCGAACTTCCTAAGTCCTGGCATTTCAGTGTTTGGAAGAACCAGCTCGCCACAAATTCGGACAGCTACCAAATTAATGTTTTGCCGGGGATTGGTTCCTTCAATCAACACAGTTTATTCAAGCGGTTTCTTTTATCTACAGAGTATTGCTTACGTATGAGTATCCAAAATTCCTACAAGCTTTCATGGAACCTTTATGGAAAAGGTTGGACTTCGGTTTCAAAGCCTTGGTCGTAAAGCTTGGGACTTCTCCAACATCCGTCCTCAGAGGTCATTGGTGCGGAACCAAGGGGGCAAAAAAAGGGGGTCAAAGACCAAACTCTTGGTCTGTTTAAGTTGAACATCTCCACCACTTCTTAGTTCTCAGTGCAGCCAACAATTTGACAACTTGTGAGTTGTCTTACTAGAGGAAGGAACGAAGGAACCTTCAGAGAGCTTAACATCTTGAAGAAGGGATTGTTATAGCAAATCACGGAAACCAGTTAGCGAGTTAGCCAGATGCGTACTTAACCTAATTAATTGTTTAGGTTCACCAGCACTTAAGCTTTTCATGTGTGCTAACGACTTGCGAAAATTTCAGAATTCGATATGAAGTAATAGTGCTTATCCAACCAAATCATCGCAAAGGTGATTTCGGTTTTTCAGGCTCGCAAAGTATGTAGAAAGCGTAATCATCGGCGAAGGGATAGTGAAATACGTGACTGGAAGTGTAGTATTGCCAAATGGTACTGTTTTGGTAACTGACGAAGAAGAAGGTATTATTCTATTCGACACTCAGGGAAATGTCGTTAAAAAGGTTTGCCTTACACTTATCACATTAGATGTTCACATTGAACTCCGTGAATCTTCCAATACTCAAACGTAACCGTTTCAGATAAAGGAGCCTGCCTGGAGAAAACCACGAAGTCCAATTTACTACAAGGAGCACGTGCTGGTAAGTGATCGAACTTTTCGACAACCTGATAGGATACACCTACATATAGTCAAAAGCGCTTACCCCATGCACTCAAGCACTTTCCAAATCCAGCACTCCATAT